AGAGGAGGGGGGGAGAGAGAAAAAGAGAATGAGAGAGAGAGGAGAGAAAATGAAAGAGAGGAGAGAGAGAGAGGGAGAGAGAGTGAGAGAGAGAGAGGAGGAGAGACAGAGACAGAGAGAGTCAGACTCCCCCAGGGTCATGTGGAAAGGAGCAGAATGAGTATTTGAACACAGGATTTTCTTCTCTGTGTCATACTGGGGGGAGGCAGGCTGGCGCTTTGCCTTGGGGGGCTTCAGGGCCCTCTCTCCTTTCTCTGGGTGAGCCCCTGGCATTGGCCCAGATCTCCATCATGAGGCATGGGGCTAGGCCAGGGGCAGGGCTGTTCTCTGCAGGGAGATTCTCATCTGGGAGAAACTCGGAAAGAAAACCCTAAGACAATCATAATAAGCTAAGAGCCAGCCTCCTCTCCTGGGGAAGCCATGTTTATTGAGGAGGGGAAGTTAGATTTATTTACAAAGGACCCCAAATAGATGCAGCTTCCTGCTCTCCACCGTCCCCTTTCCCGCATCTCCATGCCCACAGCCCCATTCTTCCTCCCCGCTCCTCCCCTTAGGCCCAAGGTTGAGACAGCCTTTGGACAGAAGGGGCCTGTCAGCCAGGCAGGGTCTGAATCCCACTGAGGGCAGCAGTCTTTGATGCTGAAGTCAAGAAACAGCTGTCTCCTGCCATCCCAGATCCTGGTGACCCCCCAGTCAACCAGGGAGTATCTGGCCTTGGGCTGGGGGAGGGGACATGCCCTGCCACTTAGGAGTCTGGGGATGGCTCAGAGAAAGAAGGCAGCCAGGCAGCCAGAGATGTGAAGCTCTGGGGGACATTCCCTGGACCAGCCCCTCATTCTACAGGGGAAGGACCCAAGCCCAGAGGGGAATGATCTTGCCCAGGGTCCTATAGGCAAGAAGCAGTGGTCAGGCCTAGAAGCTAGTTCCCTAGACTCCAGATCTTTGACAGTCCTCCAAGGGCCGAGGACATCAGGCTAGTTGCTCCCAAGAGCTCCCAGCCCGGGCTCTCCTTCCACCCCAGCCCTGCTCCCGAAGGAGCCCCCCCAAAAGGAGCTGGAGCTGGAGGCCTCACACTGTGACCTCAGCCTTGCTATTGGTGGTCAGATGGCGGGGCCCCCCAGGGGGCTGGTGGCTGAAGGCCTCACTCAGCTGCTCCGCACTGAACTGATGCTTGGGCGCGTGGCCTGGGGCCCGACGTGGGGCTGGGGAGGGCTGGGCCCGGGACCCATGGGGCGTCCTAGGAGGCACCCGGGAAGTGGCCCAGCCCTGGCAGCTGGGGGGCCCTGGGCTTGGCCCGGAGGCAGATGGCCGAGTACCACCACTTCTTAGCCCTTTGGCCCTGGGACCTGGCGTGGCCCAGGGGCAGCCGTCCAGCAGCAGGGGCAGATCCTTGTGGTGCCTGGGGACCCGGGGTGGGAGGGACACGGTGCTGGGCACAGGCACGTCCACCGATGGGAAGCGTTTGTAGAATTCTCCAGAGGTGCTTTCTGTTGGAGTGGGGGTGGGGGAAAGAAATCTAGGTCAGGGGGCAGTGAGCAGCCTAGGGTAGGAGGGTGAAGGGTGGGGCTGGAGCTAGGTCTGGGCCTTGTGGGTGGAGGTGAGGAGGGGACAGACACAGGACTGGTAATTGTGGAAGGCTGAGCCGACTGCATTTGAAGAATTAACTTAGGAACCTGCAGGGCCTATGGGGGGGGGGGGGTCTGGCCTGGGCAGAGAATGAAGAAATTGTTGGTAAGGCTACGGTACCCCAGATGCGGGTGGTTAGGACAGAGCTCTAGAACCCCAGGTTAAGGTAACGGAGACACTGCTTTGTTGGGGCAGAGAACTTGAGAATCCTGACTCAGGTTATCCAAGACTCTGCTTGGCCGGGATGGACGTCCTCATGACCTTGTGGGATAGGAAGGGGGCAGGCCAGGGGTTGCCTCCTGGCAAGGGCAGGGCCACTCACCGGCGGCCTTCAGGGTGGTGTACTTGGTGTAGTCGGGCTGCAAGGTCATGCTGTTGCCCAGGTGCAGCCGGGATCCGTGAGAAGGGCCGAGCCCCAGGGAGGGCAGGATTGGAGTCCCCAGAGGGGCATGGTTCAAGTGCTTTTTGTCTGGAGAGGGCAGAAGAGGAAAGGTGGGGGCAGGGTGACTGGGGGTTGGCATTGGGGTCTTTCCCTTCCCGGCCTCTTCCCTCCATCAGGTCCCGGTCCTCATCACGTTTCTCTGCTGGCCCTCATCCCCAGGGGCGACAAGTGGGTCAGTCAGTGAGCATTTCTTACAGGCAGTCATGTATGAGTCACTTTTGTAAGGCCGAGCATGCACAGAAAGATAACAAGACGGTTCCTGCCCTCAGGGAGCTCACGTTCTAATGGGGGAGTAGTCAAATCACTTTATACACAAGATAGAGAGAGTGGGGGGACGGCAATCTCAGAGAAAAGGCATTGGGGGATGGGGAAGGGGAGAGCAAAGGAAACGATCTGGAAAGGCCTCCTGGGGAAGGTGGGGGCTGCGGAGTCTTGAAGGAGGCTGTGGAAGCCAGGATCAGAGAGGATAAGAGCGACCCAGGCTTGGGGGGCGGCCA